CTAAAGCTTTCTAGGTTTTTAACGGTGACAGTGTCCAGATGTTGAGGTAGGAGATCTTTTTGGAAGCATTCTTAAGTTTAAAGACGGGGTCGTTCGACGCGCAGCACAGAAACACACTGCTCCGTGGAAACACAAGTATCGTGTCTTGTGGACTTCGTCGCAAAGAATGTCTGTGACAGTTTGATTGACTTCGACTTCAACGTGCCGGATTCATCGGATGGTGGCTTCTCACCGGCTGGATCCGAGGAGCCCCGTTGCCATAGATCGAAGTGGCGCTCAAAGAGCGCATGCTGGGCCATTGTGCTAAGGTATTCAGAGTAAGAGGCTTGCAGTGTTCAAAGAGATGTTGGAGACTAGCAGTCAAGGGGATGAAACAATCCTAAGAGATATTGCTGAGTGTTTCAAGTTAAGTGGGTCCATTTCTAATTCGGGTGTATACAGAGCGAAAAGGACTTCAGCTACCCTCAGCACATCCTCTGTCCGCAAGGCTGCACATGTGCTAACGCGTGGCATAATCCATTCCACACGTGGTTCCGACGACTGTGAACTGGATGAAGCCACCTTTGCGCTACAGCCTATGAACTTCAGAGGGGGTGGTTCTTCGGTCCAATTGATGTTGTTACACGCCGCTTTGGCGTCCGTCAAGGCGGGAAATGTCGGCCGATTGACAACTACCTCGAATCGGGCGTTACTCAACAGCCAGTTCCGAAGATACTATCACAGTCCACTCGGCGGATGTCATCGCAGCTGCGCTTGTCTACAGGATTCATCATCTTCGAGCTCGCCGTCTACCTGCACAACTGCTGACAAGGACGTGAGACTTGTCCAAGGCCTACAAGAATCTAGCGCTGCATTCTGAATCGATCCCTGTGTGGAATCCTCGGCTGAGGCGCGCTGAGGTCTACGGTCAGCTTGTATTGCCATTTGGCGCCCGGGCAAGTGTGCATGGGTTTTGCAGAACATCATTATCCATATGGTGTATCGGGGTCGTGACATTCCTCCTACATTGGGGGGGTATTCTTTGACGATTTCATTGGATGCGAGACCCCCGTGTTATCCACGCTTTTCGAGCTGTTTGCAGACGGGCTCTTCATGATTCTTGGATGGACAACTGCAACTGACAAGGGGTCTGACTTCGATCCAATTGCGAAGGTCCTTGGCTTAAAGATTGACTTGAGCGAGTGCAAGCTTGGACCCATACGCTTTGCAAACACCGAAAATCGACATGACGAACTTGTTGGAACTCTTGGCGACATCCTTGATGCTGGGTTCCTTAGCCGAAAAGATGGTGAGAAGCTTCGAGGCCGCCTACAGTTTGGGGAGCAGCAGATATCGGGCAAGAGGGCTGGACTTGCGTACCAGGAGCTGTCTCGTCATGTGTCCAAAGGGTGGCAAGCTTGGTGCTTCGAGCAGGAGTGCATTGGAGTTCTTGGCTAATCACGTTGCCAATTCTCCACCTCGGTGCATTACTGACCAATCATCCTTTACCTGGCACTTGTACGTGGACGCTTCGAACGACGACGAGAAGGGTGGGATTGGCGGCATACTTCTATCTGAGAATGGTTCATACATTGGCCATTTCAGTGAATATCTTGACGAAGCTACCAAAGACATTCTCAACACTTCTGCTAGCGAGAACCCGATCTTTGAGCTGGAGTGTCTTGCAATTTGGTGTGGCATCTGGACTTGGGCGCGGCTCTTCCAAAATACCCAGGTGATCATCTTCGCTGACAACGAGGGAGCCCTTTACAGCATGGTGAATCACAGGAGCACGAATGACGCCGGGAGTCGAATCGTCTTGGCCACTCACAACTTGGTTGACGAGCACTTCATCAACCCTTGGTTTGAGCGCGTCAATACTTCATCTAACTTAGCTGATGAACCCAAAACCGAATTGGGTGCTCGAGCTGCCATCGATTACAAGCGTCTCGCTCAGATGGCAATGGGATCAGGGGTGGAAAGCCACTGGTCGGCAGTGCGTGTGGACGTCCCACTATACGGTGGGCTCCAGGTGGGGCATGTCCGGAATACCCGGCATGCCGAATACGCGAATTCATCACCCCTTGACTTCCACGAGGGAGTGTAAAAAGAGCGATCCGTCAAGCGCCTCCATTCGACTGATATTCATATGTTTCACATATCTTTGCTTGGTTTATCCCGCTTTATATGTATATATGTGCAATTGCTACAGTGAGTGAATTGCGAATGTTTTATATGGACTTCTCACCATACAAAGACGGTTTGCTCGAATGCCCTTTTGGGAATGAGGAATAAGTTTTCGTCTTTTTTGTTCTATTCTATTATATTCTCTTCTAGTCCTTCTTTTCTATTCTACTATATTATATTGTATTTTATTATATTATGATTTACTATATTTTCTTGCATTATATTATACCATGTTATAATATGTTATAGTATATTGTTCTTACTGTAGTATGTTATATCATACAGCAATAATTGTAAATGAGAGACGTCAACGCAAGGTAGGCACCGCACCACAGCAGAAGACAGACGCAGCCAGCATCTTGTCGGGAAGACACATGCAGCCAGCATCCCGTGCAAACAACGGGACATGGGGGCCACAAAAATAAAGGAACTCCAAAATACAAAGGACCGAAATAGAACTCCACTGTGAGCCTTACCCGAGGGGTGAACGGCCCCGTCGTGATTTCTGGTATAGCTTGAGCCATGCTGATCCTGAGCATGCCCAGCAAACCTCAAGTGTATCTGACATCAGTTGGGCCGCACCAAGTATTGCAGTCATATCGGCTTCTGGAGGCTGCCAAGCGCTGGCTAGACTCCGGATGTGCTGGCGTGGGCAGGAGAGTGAACAAGACGGACGCATCCGCAAGTCCCTTTGGGAGGCTGCGACGGAACTGCACAGCTTGAAGGTCAAAGTTTTTGTCGGACCTTAGTTCGAGCCTCAGTTCAAAGATCGTTTCCGCCGTCGTCGAGCTGCGCATTTCGTCAGACGTTGCTGTGGTGATTGTCACTGCCGGTCAGCGCATCTTCTCAGTCTTGCACTTGCACGTCGTCAAATCTCCATTCTCGTCCCAGTGATTCTTGCGATGTTCGGTTAAGCCAAGTTTGCCAGTGCTGTTGTGGGTGGACATGCAGCATAGATTCGGGGTTGGTGCTGGAAGCGGGGTTGGGGGTTCCGCCAGGTTCACAGCGAGCAGCGAGACACCGAACGCAGTAGAGACAGGAAGAGGCGTGGGATCAGAAGAGATGAGGGGCCAGGTCGGTTTCAGAACAGGGAGGGACAGGAAGCAAGGAGGGGCCATTCGTACTTGTGTTTTCGTCACGGAATTTCCATGTGAGCGGATTCCAGCAAAGCGCTGCCATCGATGTGGTAGTCTTTTCTCGGTACCACTCTGACGAGGTACGTCGTCGGTCTGAAGTCTGAAGGTGATTGTTCGCCAGTTTCAGCTTTTTGAGCCGAAGACATGGCGACGACGTGTTCGGAGAAACTGGGGGAACAGGCAAGACCAAGTACTAAATAAACAGCCCAAGAAAGCAGGCAAACAGACAGTGTGGAACATGCTGAAATCGCGGTTGCCTCTCGAGTCAGTTTCGCTGCCGTCTTTTCTGCCAGTTTGTGTGTGCCATGACGCTGCTGGCCTTGGTTCTGGCAGCTTTG